GTTAGGCTATTAGTTGAAGCAAACAGATTCAATTTCTTAACGTAAACATGGCGGACTGAAGACTCAGGTTGAGGTGGAGTGAGAACTGAAGTATCAACTGGTGATGTAGTAGCCTCTCCACTGCTAGTAAGATTAAATTCTTTTGCTATTTTAATAGCTAGAGCTGGATCAGCTCCTCCACTACTACTTTTAATGGAGTTACACAGCATTCTTAATGTAGGGACACCATGACTCTTATAGTCATAGTCCTTCTTTAACCAGCAATCAAATACTTTCTGTAGACAAGTTCTTGGCGGCTTGCCCCCTGCTTCAATCTCATTTAACTTGTTGCGGCTGATTCCCAGCATAATTGCTACAGATTCCCAGCGTCCTGACAAGACAGCAGCTTTTTCCCATACCAGTCGAAAATCACTAATATCTATCATTAATAATACTAATAAAACAATTATTATGAATATCTACTCACTAAGTTCTCTGTCAAAGGCTCTTTTCAGCTCCTCTGGTTTGGTTGACATTTTTGCTGAAGCAGAGCAGCTACGCAAAGCACTTAGCCCCACCCTAGTTATAAAATAAACAGTAGCCTAGTTAACAAACTAGTTTAATAACTGACCCCGCCCCTCAGTACAACATGAATGAGCAATGGTCAGTTTGAAGGAGAGAGAAGACTAGTATCTCTTCTCTTTTCTTTTAATATCTCCTTGTAATGGCTGCCAATAGCTCCTTAAATCATTCATTCTCTCTATTTAGAGATTTTCTTTCTGATAGCCCGTTTTCTAGAGGAGAGCTCTTGTAGGAGAGCGGCTAAGGTAGGACAAAGACGGGCGAGTCTTTTCTGTTTGTTTTTGAAGAGAAGAGACACGCCATTACACGTGGTCACTCGGCATTCTTGTTTTTTTTCTATCTTGTTACAGGTACTGATAGAAGAGTTGGAAGAAAAGGAGGTGAGAGGAAAGAGAGAGAAGAATCCTTCTCTTTCCTGAGCTCTGGGAGTGATGGAGGGATAGAGAGGTTTCTACTTTAAAGTCCTCAGTCACAAAGGAGGTGGCCTCCGTTAAGGAAGCTATAAACAGTTCTCCTACAAACAGTTCTCCTACTCCTTCTGTCTCCTCTGGTGATAGTCTCCCCCCTCCTCTTACTTCCCAATCCACCTCTCGTTCTCAATCTTAATTCTCCTAAGTCTATTTCCTATTTAGAACGGAAGTACAACGTTATTGTTTTTGGTGTCGTGGAACAACCCTCTGGTACTCCTTGGCCAGCTCGATCTAACCATGATTATAATGAGGTGTGCCGTCTCTTTTCCCACTTAGATGAAGGTACTGAAGATTACCTTATAAGGGATTGCCGTCGGATCGGACGGTTCCAGCCAGATGCCTCTCATCCTCGTCCTATTCTCGTTACCTTAGGTTCTACCTCAGATGTATTCTTTATTATGTCTAAAAGAAATTTGTTACCTTCTACTATTTATGTCAGGCGTGATCTCTCCCCTGTTCAACGTAAAGAACGCAGTATTCTGTTTAGTGAGAAGAACAAATTAAAAGATTCTGGTGTTCCAATTCAATCTATCAGTATCAGGTGCTCTAGTTTGTTTGTTGGTGAGAGAGAGGTTGGAAAAGTTACTGGTGGAGCTTTTATTAGCTCTCGTAGTCTGGGCAACTTGGCTCCTTCTCTTACTAATCTTGATGTGGGGGTTTCATCTGTGTCTGATGTTTCATCATCATCAACTGAACGTCCTGATGATTCAACTTCCTCAGTTGAGCCTAATAGAAGTGTTTCTTCTCATGACAATGAATCTTCTGCCTCCTTACAGTCCCCTGAGCCTAAGTCAGATTGACTATCTTCAGGTGTTAAGTTCTTCTACTGGAATGCTCGTAGCATAGTTAACAAAAGGCAAGAATTTCAATCCTTACTTTTCTCTGGAAAATATCATATCTTAGCTATCACTGAAACCTGGTGTTCCAACAATATCTGTGACAGGGAAATAGTCCCAAGTGGATTTGCAGTCTATCGCAAAGACCGTGACTCTAGAGGAGGTGGGGTTTTACTGGCTATTGCAGATTATTTATTATCTAAAGAAATTAGTTCCCCTGAATCTTTGGAACTAATTGTTATTGAGTTATGCTTAGCTAAACCCTTACTTCTTTGTTTAACTTATATTCCTCCATCTCCCTCTATCCAATATCTTTCCTCACTTCTGTCCTTTCTCTCTGATGTTACCAAAGATAAAGATCTCATTCTTATGGGCGACTTTAACTGCCCTGACATAGACTGGGCTTCTTTTCATGCTAGCACTTTACCATCAACGCTACTTTGTGATTTTGTTGTAGATCGCTGTCTGCAACAGCTTATTACTGAACCCACTCATGTTAAAGGAAATATTCTTGATTTAGTATTAACATCATGTGGAGTCAACTTAAATGAGGTTGTTATCCACTCTAGTCCCTCTCCCATCCTTGTTACTTCAGATCACTTCCCAGTGTCCTTTTCACTTTCCTCTCTTCTACAACCACACTCTGTCTCTTCCTCCTCTCCTTCTCTTAACTACAGTAAAGGTGACTATGTTGGCTTGAATGATTATCTTCTGAGTCTTGACTGGGAGCAGTACTTTACCTCCAATAATATAGAATATTTATGGGCTAATTTGAAATCAGTTATCTTGGAGTCCAGTTCTCAGTTTATCCCTGTTTTCAACCCCTCTCGTTACCCTAGGTGGTTTTCTGGTCCCATAAAGCACAAACTACACTTAGTTCGATCGTTAAGGAAGAAGGCTAAACGTGTCTCCATTCCATCTCATAGAGAGCACATGTTACACAAAGCAGAAACTGACCTTCAGAAAGATATTCTAGAGGCAAAATCTAGATTTGAATCAGACCTTGTTGACAAATTTGCCTTCTCAAATGATTCTAGAATCTATAAGTTTATCAGAAGTCTAGTGGGTACACACTCCTTTCCTCACTGTATGTCACTTGGCTCTAATTCTGCTACCACTGACCAATCAAAGGCTTCCTTGTTTAATGAATTTTTTCATTCAGTATTTCAAAAGTCATCTACCTCTGTAGATGCATCTAATTTTTCTCTGCCTGGGTGTGTCTTGGAGGATATCACCTTCTCTGTCTCCGATGTTTTTAAAGCATTGTCAACTTTAACAGTTTATAAGGCTCATGGTATAGATGAAATTCCAGCATACACGCTGAAGTTCTGTGCTACTTCTTTGTGTGAGCCGGTTCATCATCTGTTTTCTCAGTGTTTGATTCAGTCATATCTTCCTATGGAATGGAAAGTTCATAAAATAACTCCAATTCATAAATCTGGAGATAGGTCTTTAATTAACAACTACAGACCAATCTCTTTATTATGTATCATCTCAAAGGTTCTGGAGAGATTAATTTACAATTACATATATCCCAGCATTTCTGGTGTTATCTGCAGTAATCAATTTGGTTTTATACGTCAGTGTTCTACACTTCAACAACTTCTCCTTCATTTTAATTCTCTCCTATCCTCTTGTCAATCTGATGTTGTATATTTGGATATACAAAAGGCTTTTGATACTGTTTGTCACAATAATTTACTTCAGAAACTATGGAATACTGGCATATGTGGTCGAACTTGGAAGCTTATTGAGGCTTACCTTTCTGATAGAATACAATGTGTTTCAGTGAATGGTACTCTTTCTAATTTCCTTCCTGTCTCCTCTGGGGTACCACAAGGGAGTATCCTGGGACCCTTATTCTTCATATTGTATATTAATGATCTCTCTCTTTCTGTTATTCACTCCTCTCTGTCTCTATTTGCAGATGACAGTAAGTGCTGTAAATCGATTTCCTCTATAGCAGACAGTCAACTTCTTCAGGAGGATCTTGATCGTATCACTAATTGGAGTAAGGAGTCCAAGTTGACCTTCAACACCAAAAAGACTTTTCTAGTGAGGTTCCACAGACCTAAGATACAACCTATCTCTTTTAACTATTCTTTCCAAGGTCTTGTTATAGACAACAGAGTTTCTTGCAGGGATTTGGGGGTCATTTTCTCTGAGAGTCTCTCCTGGTCTTTGCAGGTCAGGACTGTTCTCCAGAAAGCCTATAAGACTCTATACTTTATTAAACGTGCTTTTCCATCTGCCTCCACCCCTACTGCTGCTAAAAAAAAGTTGTACTTATCTCTTATTCTTCCTATTTTTACCTACTGTGCTCCTCTTTGGCGCCC